ATTAAGTTTCAGCATATTTATGCTTGATGTTGACCAGAAACTTTTACTTACCCAAAGAATATATGGAAGCAAAGTGTTTGTGGGTATGAAACTGAAGAAGGTTGGGATCAAAAGTACTATAGAAAAGACTTTAAAACGTACTGGGTGGAACCTGTTTTGAAAATGCAATCATTTCTACGATGTTCCTCACAACTACAAACACTCCACCACTGAAAGCAACCTACTGTGTTTGTGCATGCTCAGTGTCTGCACCTTTTCCATACAAAAACGATTTCTTTTAAATTTCATTATAAATTTTTAACGACTTTTGTCATTGTGCTTTTTCTGATTCGTAAATAATTTAAGGTGACTTTTCAAACTGTGTTAAATAATAATGAGGGATGTTCCCAGTGATAACGCCTGCTTTTCTTTCATTTATCATTCGCCTTCCCGCTTCGTGAACTTCTTGAAGTGTTGAAGATTGTCTGGTTGCTCATGAGGTCAAGTGTGGTAGAATCGTTACATCATGTTCACACTGCAGTTTCAATCAAAAGGATATGCTCTGAATACAAGGTACTGCAGTTCCTTCTAAAGGTACAGAAAGGACTTTAGTTAAATGTTGAAATTGAGAAGAAAATAACTGATAAAACAGATTTCTAGAGCAGCAGATTTAATTCTTCTGTCATATGATTTATGCTTCTTGCAGCTAGTGTTCTGGTTTATTTGAAAGAAACAGAACTTTCCACAACAGGACTGAAAACTTTTTCACCCAGATTGCTCTTTTCTCTTTGTTTTCTTCTCTTTGTTGTTTTGTTCTGTTTGACACTCAGCAGCATTCTCAGTATATTTCAAGTTGTCAAAAATCAACATGAGTGAAATGAAAATCACCTCACTTTCACATCTAAATGACAACTAAAACACACACCTCTTCGTTCAACACTAACAAAAAGATGGCATTTTGAAGGATTCCAGCAGGCAGACTGAGGCGCTGACAGACTGGTGAGTCCAGCAGTGGTTGGCCAGGAGTTCTTGGTCCAATCTAAGGTTTAAAAAAGTCCCTGTGTCAGTGTACTGTGTGTCAATTCTTATTTCAACCCAACCCCAAAAAGGGTCTTTATCACAACAAATACAGGAAACACTAGGGATCCACCAGTCCAATTTTTTGCTTCTGATACCGATGTCTCAGGTTTAGTATCGGCAGACACCGATCCGATACAGAAAAACAGCTCTCTATCACTTTCTGACATGTTCTTGTTCTTAGAAATAACATCAACAAAGGTCACAGTTATGATGAAGCACTTGAATCATATTTGTCAGGTGAGAAAAAAAAGAAGAAAAAAAAAAAGAAAACGCTCTGCGTTCAGAATTCAAAACACTTTAAACCATCCCCATGAGCTAAAGAAACCCAAACATTCACCTGAAAGAACTGAAGATCACATTTTGGCTTGGACACCAATTTAGATGTGTCAGATTTGGGCCCCAGATTTTCAGTCAGAGGTCACTGAGCTCTGATGGAAAGGAAATATTGATGGCTGCCTGATGAAGAACAGTGAATTTTTCTCCCCATCACTTGCTCTGATACATTAAAGATTTATAAAAAGGAAAGGCAGAATCGGAGAAGTCTTAAATTTATTCCAAGCTTTATTAAATGCTGGGTGAGTTTTTGTCCCGGGTGGAGAAATCTTAACCTTTATATGCTTTCTTTCTAATTTTAGCCTCAGAAGCTGAATGTTTGGAGTTCACTACTTCTAAATTCTTGACAGAAATATGAACTGTCTTCAAAGACAGAATTGTACAATTGAGCTTTCTAAGTAATGTAGATTTGCTTTTATCAAAGGCATGTGATGCAGTTCTCACCACAAACAGGATGGAAGTTAAACCCTAAACCTCTTTGTTTCATCAGGAAGTTAAAACTGAACCACAACAAGAAAAATATGATGGTCATATTGCATAAAACAAATAAATTCACAAAACCCTAATAGATTGCAAACTGTGGCATTAAAAGAGGGCAAAACCTTTACATATTCACATGCACTCCTCATCAGGGCCGTATTCACAAGGATATGTGACCCTGGGATAGAGCCTGATTTGGTGCCCTATCCAGTACAGAAAGATTATTTTACTCATTTAAATGGCAAGTCCTATATATAAGTAAGCATGAATTAATGCATTGTAGGTTAAATCATGCCATGAACAGTAGCTCTGTGTTATTCTCCAAAAATATAAACTTGAGTTTTGTTTATGTTCATAAAATTCCCAAAATATTAACACATTTCACCTGATATGGGTTGTGAGTTTGAAATGAAGTACAATGCAAAACATTTAAAACACAAGAAATACAGAAACGTCTATGGCAGAGCTGGTTTGGTAAATACTCTGAAGAATTTAAGGTGACCTGTTCTGCTTTCTTGAACAAGTTGGGATAGGATAAGTGTGTGAGCAAACGTCTGAATGTTTATTATGTGTTTTGCTCAAAATAGAATAGAATAGAATTCAACTTTATTGTCATTGCAGTGTCACATGTACAAAGCAACGAAATGTAGTTTGCATCTATCCAGAAGTGCTATACAGGATATAAATATTTATAAACAGTTGTATAAACAGTTGTATAAACAGAGAATAATATTGATGTGCTATAATAAAATGTTTTGTACAAATATAAACATAAATATGAGAGCTATGCACTTATTATACAAATTACACAAATTATATATAATATATATTATATAAGTTGTTTTATAATACAGAATAAATAATGGCAAATTAGATTTACAGATTATATGAAGATTATCATTCTTAGATAAAGATGTTTCACCTCCACAGTTCTATTTATTTTAGGGCTCTGGAACTTTTAAGCAAATAAGCCGCTGCTGGCCACACCCCCAACTCAAAGTTTGCACTCACAATTTTACAACAAGGCATCTTTGAAAAGCAAAAGTAGAGCCTCCTGCACACCAACAAGAATGCAAGTGGTTTCTGGATGGTACATCAACAACAAAACACTTTTCTTCTCCAGTAGCCATCATGCAGTGCATCCAGCTGACCAAACATGCTGGAGCTCTGCGTGGGTTGCTAGGTTACAGGGGTTGGTTCGGGGTTTCAAAGGGAGGGGAGTGCCCACCAAGTGTGACGTCACAATCAGGAGGTTATTGAAATGATTCATTTTCCAAACACCAAAACACATTAAATTATTGTCAGCAAAACGGCTGCATGGTTTGGAGTATTTCTAGAACGGAAGTTCAAATACATGCAAAAAATGAAATTTGCATAATAAGTTCCTTTTGAAATAAGGTTAAAGGAGAGAAAACCAAACAAATAAAACGAGCTTCAACTTTCTGGGGTCAAATATCCTTCCAGAACAAGCCAGAAGCTCACAGAGAGAAAATATGTGGTTCTTTACAATTTGGACTTGAAAAATAATCCAAATATCAGTGTGGGTTAATGTTTGTATTAGAGCTTGCATGTTAAAAATGAACTTCTGGATTAGAGGAAATAACCATCAAATCCAAAATTGTACACCTAAAATTGAAGACATTGTTATGTAAATCTCAAAACTCAGTTTCTATTGAAGATCGGAAGAGAAAATGTAAGATGTGTGTTCACATCTTCCTGTTGAATGTTTTCCCTTTTCTGTTTGAAAGTAACTCAGAAAGTACTGGACAGCCGTTGTAGATGATTTAACTATTTCTCTTATTTCTCGGGAGAGATAGTTCGCCAAGCCACAGACATTGAGATGTTACCGCCAAGTGTGGGAGACGCTCATTTTCGTGCGCGCTGCTTAACACAACGCTGGCGAGGACGCTGGCAGGGCTAGCGAGCTGCTAGCGAGGTGAAGAAAATGTGGCAGCCTGAACAATGTTGCAAAAAGCTTGAAACCTCACAACTGAATATAAATGGGAGGAAGAACCTGCAAGAAAGCTCTACGGTAAAGATCATCTGTCACTGCCAAGTTTGCAAAGTCTCAGCAGGCTTCACAAATGCAAATGTCTGGTAGGAAATGGGAGGGTAAAAAAAAAAAAAAAAAAAAAAAAAACTGGAGAAAATCAGCTCTTCTTGCTCTTTCAATACAGTCATGAAGTGAGAGGTCATTCTTTTGGATTTAATTATGTTTTTTTTGCAAGCAGAGCTTCTGGAAATGGTCCTAACAATTCTGACTGAGAGAATGGGGCGAGCCGCGGCTAACGACGAGCTTCCAGGCCTTTAACTGGAGCTCCTCGGCTGCAATACCAGCACAGAGCGAGCAAAGCAGAGCCAGGAACACAAGAGAGGAGCTTGGCAACGGCACTGTGAATCCGCTGGCCTCCACCCATCACAGCCCACGGGCATGTGCCTGGGAGAGACGCATCAACATTCGCTCTACAAAGACTGGAGGAAGAAAAAACCTCCACCCAACCAAACATTTGTACCAAACTTTTGGTTTTTTCAAATTTTTGAACTTTTGCCATCAACGTGCACGCAAGTACTAATGAGAAATTCATTTGCTAACACTGCCAACGTTACAAAAAGAAAGAAAAAAAAAGAAAACAGCCACACTGTGCCCTCTCTGTTTTCCCCGTTTCCAAGGAGATTGCAGCACATTGGTATTCTGAGGGGAGACTTCATAAGCAATTGCGAGTCAAAGAAATGTGATATAGAACAAGATGGAGAAGAGGAATGGTAAAAGATACGTAAATGTGTTTGGGTAAACAGTACAGTGACATGTTTAAGCAACAAAGACTTCCACAAAGAGATAAAATGCATCATGCACAGGTGTAAGAACACATTCATGTCAAACCAGATAACACTACGTGTGATTAGACCTGTGTGCGTGTGTGTGTGTGTGTGGGGGTTGTGTGGGTGTGTGCGTGTGTGTGTGTGTGTGTGTGTGTGTGTGTGTGTGTGTGTTTGTGGGCTGTCGCTGGGCGTCAATCCTTGTTCTGCGTGTAAGCAATCAAACACTGTAATGTTGATCCAACATGAAACTCCTACAATGTTTACAGGCGTGAGTCATGCACATGTGAAGACAAGAAAAGCTTCCTTACCCATGAACTCAATGCCCAAGTGGTCTGATGTTCCAGGCAGCGGGAAGGAGAGAAAAAGAGAGAGAAGTAGACGTTACTGACGACAGACTCATTGTGTCAAAATACAAAGCTAGCCGCAGTGTGAACTTTTGCAGCAGTCAAGCAGAAGAAGAAGCTAGATGTTAGTATTGTTATAAAGAATGACACATGTGAATGCAAGCTAATGGTCTGGTTTTCTGTCCCACCTTCATCTTCATGTTAACTTTTCTGTTTTTACACCAGAAATAAGCAGAAAAACATAGTTCTCATAGAGTAGGGGAACTACATTTTTTCTGCTGCTTTTGCATAGTTTATTTGTATTGTCTGTAGATTGTCGAAACTGAGGAATAAATTAATCTCAGTAAAATTATTGATTGATTAACTGATTTTATCATTTTGCCCTACTTCAAGAATCAAAGATTTCTTCTTTTTGAGTTTTATGGTGGTTGGCAGACCAACTAAGATGGTTTTTGACCACCACCAACCGGACTGGAGTGAAAAAAGTCAAAGATTTAAATCAGTCATGCCAGTTGCTATTCTGCCCAGGTTGTTTCAGGTTGTTTTGTGTTGCAGTTTGTCCCACTGCAACACAACCTCGTATATTTTACTCAAAAATATATTCGCTGAATATATGTTTTGAAATTGTACACCATAATTAGAATTGGTGAAGCTTTTCTTGAACGCACAATTGGTAATCTGGCTAATGTAGCAGGTGTGCTTAGCAGCAGACTGCGCTAGCTAACCAAGTAAATGCTAATATTATTTTGTTACACAGTCAGTTTTTCTCACTGTCTACAAAGAGGATAAAAAAAATAATATTGCCTGTAATAAACATTTTTACTAAAAATTATCTCAGTATATTTATTTAGAATTTTGTTTTGTGTTTCACCATTTATTTGTTCAAAATATTTAAAATGGCAGAGCTTTTAACAGTTACCCACTTACTTCTTGTTACTAAGGCAGAATTTTAGACTCAGTGATAATATATTCTATGTTAGAATATGTATAATCAACATCGTCAATGTATTATTTTATTTTAACAGCAATTAGAGATTTAAAAAAATATATTGCCTTTGGTCACAACTAAGGTCATTGCTAAATATCAAATGTATGGAGAATAGATCATTTTCAGGCCATGAAAATTTCAGTTTACAGTGAAAAGAACTTTTTAATGGTAATCTCCACTCAATTCACTCTCAATGTAATTGTGGCTGTAACCTTGGTGTTTGTGTTCAGCGTGTTGTGCATTAAAAATTAGATAATTTAGTGCATGTCTAGACTTATTTATTTTTTTCTGTCTTTCAAAAACGCCGACAATTATTATGTAAAAAAAATATCATGTAGTGGAATCAGTAGGGTGTTCATGGATTGTATCAAACATTAATGCTTTTTATGTTTGTTGTGTCTTTTGTCAAAATGCAGGTATTTTCTTCATGGTCTGAAAACAGGTTATATTTAAATAATGAGGTCAAATCCAAAGCATAAACAATGCTGAAACATGTTTTGTGAAAAAACAACTTAGTCTGACAGAGATGAATTCCAGCTTAGAGGCAGAGTTCACTCAGCATTGGCATGAATGTTATATTAATTTTTATGCTTTTTATGATTTATTTGAAGCATTTACTTAAAGGTAAAATTACAGTGTTCGAGTTCAAAGATATTTGAAATTAAAAGTATGAAACACAAGTTTGAATTCATTGAGAATTTTCCATCCCTCATGCAAGATCAAAACAAAATATACAGATGATACTTATAAAAGTAAAACAGCCTCAGCATCATAATATCTCCACCATGCTGAGCTACATGTTTCTTTGGAAAACTCAGATTGACAAAATGTACTGTTGTGCAAACATAGAAAATGAGACTAGTGAATAGAGTGAATGATATACAACTTCTTTAAAGCTAGAACTTTCTCTAAAACTCTACATTTATCCACTGGAGGAAAAAAACATTAAAATGTTTGATTTCAGTTGTAGAACTTAAAAGAAAATAAACTACATCAATTTCTCTATGATATTTTTGTTGATGTGTTTTGTTGTGCAGTCATTCAGGTGTATGAACATACTGGGAACATGTTGGTGAAATCATTTACATTGATGATTTAAGCTGATAATATGACAACAACCAAGTCTGTCTCCTGGTTACAGAAAGAAATACAAATAACCATAAAAACATGTTTGCAAGCTTATTATATTAAACAGACAGTTTGGTGACTAACTGTAGCAGCTAACTAATGCTAGCTTGTACATAAACAGAAACTGGAAAATCAGTTTGAACCTGGTTTTTTCTTCTTTTTTTCTTTTCTCATGAAGAAATTTTGCTTCTATTTTAATTTTTAAATGTAATGTTTGTGGAGTTGAAATCAGAGGCTAAATCCATCAACTAGCACACAGGCGCTAAAGGAGAACACTGAAAATATTAGGGTGGTAAACACCTACTTTTGGTAGCTGACATTTTAAGAATTGCACACACCTTCCATTTTCAAAGCCACAACAGAGAAAATGAAACAGCAGCTTGCATTGCTTTAAATTATCTCAGGGAAACCAGAGGTTGTTTGTAATCATGTCAAAAGTTGCTCACATATTTGACATTAAATGCCTCATTGCGTTTCTGCTTGCACAGTAAAATAGCTTGTAAGCTTCCAGTGCTAATTGAAACACCTTAAACATGGAGAACCTGATTACTCTCTTGTGTGTAGAGCAATTTCTCTGATGAAAAGGAAAAGGCGAAAAACCTTTTACTGCTCTTACAGGCGATTGTATGTTGTGCTTTTATGCTTGGAAGTTATTTGACCTTGTGTAGTTAATGTGCAGAATTTCCTTTCATTCCTTAAATATAAGTGCCTGGCTTCACTTGAAGAAGTTCTAAAAAAGGACACGTAGGGAAAATGTTTGCAGTAAGCAGCTGTGACATGTTTTGCACTCGCTGCACTGGGAATATCCTGCTTGCTGACATAGTAGGACATAATCTACGGGAAGAACAGACGTTTGGCTTTAACCACACTGACAGACAGTGACTTTATCTCCTGAGTAGCCCTCTGTAACATGGTGGTGGGTGAGCTGGTCTTTCTATGGCTCAGTCCAATCTGACCTAAATCTTATCAGATGATGTTAGCCTATGTATAAGAAAATCATTTTTTATGTCACCAGTGACCCAGAGAGCGCCCCAGATGCCTGAAAGGATCCACTGAATGTGACAGATATTATATTCACTTTGAGAAATATGAATAAACCGTCAGGAGTTTCTCTCTGTTAATAAAACAGGGAAGGAATCATGAGCCAATGGACTGTAGCAGGGTTAATGATTGACCTGGAACAGCTCTCCAGGCTACACAAATGGTCTTTGAGGTCACCTATGGTGCCCACAAACAACCTTTTGGTGACCCCGGACCTAAAGTATTCTGTTGTAGTACTGGATGAGTGTTTAGCTTCTCAAGTTTTTGTGTGTTTTCTTCCAGAACTTCACCAAACCTGTCAGATGTGTTCTATGGTCTTCATGATGCTGTCTGTTGAAAAATGATCCCTAAAAATGAACAGTTGGTTTTAATCCATCAACACCCACACAGGTGGACTATTTTTCCTAATAAGGTGACTTTTAGAAACAACTGGTAACTTATGAGTATCAGAGTAAAGACTTGCATCTCTGTAGAACATTCTAGTGAACACAACTGTGTTGGCGCTGTGTGTTTAGTCTCTGTGACCTCAGCCGCTTCTTTACAACCAAAAGAAATAACAGCATGATCTGTTCTTTGAAACTCTGCACTTTTTAGTGCTTTTGGGTGGATCTGCAAACCCAACGGCAGCGCTTTCAAACTCAATTTCCCATGGAGCTCAATGAGTAGAGCCTGGCACTAAAGCTGCCAAGGTTAGGGATTTCATTTTCTGCACAGCTCTGTGGGTGAAGTATATATCAGCGCCGGTACTGTCGAGATATGAAGCTTTAGCTCCCATTGGGGCTGGCTGTACTCATGATGTATGCACTCTTGCTAGGGTAAACCTCTTTAGATGGAAGGATCCACAAAGTGTCAACTCTTAAATATGGTTGGTGGAAAATGAATCATTGCACACCAAGAGATGCTGCTGGGAAAAAGCATATCCGAATCAAAAGACATCATGGGCAGATCAGCAAGGGACCTTCAAATAAAAACTACATTTACCTTATATCACAAAAAGGTTTTTCCAACACATCGTGTAGGGATAAGAAGGATCAGGGTTAGATTATTGGAAAAACAAAGATGTAATTATTCACCATCATTAATAAAATGTGGTTTTTCACAATGTCTTCACAAGTTACATGTGCGATTGCTCAAGAACGCAATGAAAATATCACAATCTCAGCAGTTCAAGACAAAAAGATAACCCTTCCTTCTAATTTTCCCATTTATACACAACAACTTCAGTCTGAGTGTTTGAGAAGACGAGTGAAATCAGACTTGAGAACAAGAAACGCTGCTGTTGATCCTGATGCCACAATGTTTCCAAGTGTCAAGAACTGGAGTGAGAAACAGCATCATGAAAATTCACAGCCCGACAGAGACAGGAAGTGAAAGATTTAAAAGACATCAGTGGATATCTGTTATAACTCCAGAGCAACCGGAGTCACGTGAAAATGATTTAGCCAAGTCAGGAATTCTCAAGGAAGACAATCACCAGAGGTCTGCAGCTAAACACACTGCAATGTTAAAGATGAAGAACATTTCTACTGCAGCAGAAGAGACACAGTGAAATCAAACTGAAGAATGCTACCAGGAGACTGGATACGTGTCCTTTGGTCAGTAGAGAGGAGATTGCAGCTCTTGGATGAAGATCTTTGGATATTTGAAAGAGTTTGTGACACTAAGTACTTCAGGAAGGTTTCCATGGCGTTCAAATGAAAAAGAGGCCCACAGTACCACAGATACTCCAACATGCTTAACAGTAGGCATCAGGTACTTTCCCCACATGTTACCATGCCTGAAATACATCTCGTGTTGATGAAGTGAAATTTGGATAAAATACGACGTGAGT